TGAGGCAGAAACAAGGGTTGTACGCAGCTTTTCGTTTCATTCTCCAGCATATTCACCAAATGAACATTTAATGCACGAAATTACTTGTTTCCCTACGATGCCGACGTTTGCCAATTAAAACCATGTGTGCGCCTCAAAGTTTGTCTGGTTTTCATTATGCAAAAACCAAAAAGAAGAGGAAAGAGGAAAAACAGTTGCAAATGCGTGGCTCAGCCGGAGTTTTACCAGACAGAAACTTTCCAAGTGCCGTTTACAAAACAAACACAACCGTGAAAGGACAGGTTTCACAACCATACCGTCATTCTGGGAGTGTGAAGAGGTGTCTCCACACCAGCTTGTATTGTGCCGAGAGGAAACTCTTGCGTCAGCAACTACTTTCGTCCACCTATTCTTCCTTCCCTTTCTCTCTTGTTGAGCATCTCCTCGTTTACCCAACGCAGAATTTTAAATATTGTGACGGAAATGCAGAATATCTATATTGAACAGACCAGAGTCAAATACCCTGAAAACCTCAGTGTGTTCCATCTTCCCCACCTTTCTAATTCTGAAGATCACAAGGGTTTAGTTTCAAAATTAGAAAACATGTCTGGGTTACCCACAAATAATTACATTCCTAAATATTACTAGTTACTTGGGATAACTAAGTTACTTGTTGTTGCTTTGACTTACATACATAACACCCTATGGTGCTTAGAACGGTGATTGCCAACCTCGGGTAATCCAGATGTTCTTGGACTGCCACTCCCAGAAACCCTGGCCAGAACAGGTGATGGTGAAGGCTTCTGAGAAAAGCAGTACAAGAACACATGGGTTACCCAAGGTCGGCAACCAATGGCTTAGCACATTCTCTGGGCAGTTTACAGCATAATTGTACAATGATAGAATGGAAGGCTGAATCAACCTTGAGTCAGCTACCTGGACCCACCAGGATTGAAATTGTGAGCAGAGTCTTGACTGCAGTTCTTGTAATTCATTACGTCCAAACTCTCGTCGTCGTAAGCAAAAACTTGAAGAACGCACAGAAAAAGAACATTTGGTGAAACTGCGGTAAGAAGAGCATCACATGCTTCCTGTAAATGTTCTTGGCCAACAATCTGCTTGTGACACTGAACTTATCAGAAGCAGCATCATATAATTATCCAGATGGCATATGCTGTGCTTACTGAGTCCAAAATCTTCAGGGACGTGTATTATCAATGCACAAAGGCATAGCCGTGGGAAAGCACCTTTTGCCCACTGCTGATACCACAACATTGATGTTCAAGGGTCAAGCAAGAAGGCAGTGTTAACTATGACCCTTTTCAAG